AGAATTTTTGTTTTCAATGTAGTTGTTTACGAAAAAATCCAGTTTTCTAATTAGTAAACGTAAATCTTTCGAAAAACCTTCCCAAAAAACAAATAATAGTTCTTTTTTTAGAACTGACTTTGTTATGCTGTAGGGGCAAGTCTTCTCTGCATTCTGATACGATACTACCCCGAAGTCTGCAGCATTAAAATTGAAAGAAAATCTTTGACAGATGGACACCTGCTTTTTTATCGTTAATGTTAGGATAACTCTCGAAGAACTCAATATTATTTGCTCAAATTTCTATGAAGAACTATCTAAGGTCAGGCACATATTTAGTATTTCACGAAGATTGAGTGCTCTCGAAAAAAAGGATTCATGAAAGGAGGGGGTCCTTTAATGTTTTGTATTTCTAAGGCTTCAGTTTGATTATTGACTATATATTCTCTGCATTTTCCGTTTTAATAAACAGATATTTGTGCAATCTAGCTTGATAATCGATAAAATTACTTCTTCATCTACTCACTGCTTTCGTCTCTGAGAACTTCGACAGAACAATATGTTTGATCTCATAATCTTCATGGGACTTCATAGAACTCCATGGGACTCCAGACGACTTTGGAGTCCTTGGAGTCCCTAGGAGTCCTTTGGAGTCTTTTGGAGTCACTGGAGTTTCCCCCTTGGGAAAACAGCTGAGTTTGATACGTTTCTGAACTTATTTGAATTTAACTGAATTTAGCTGAATTTAAATGAATTTTCTTAAGCACACGACTATTACCCAGTATTTTGTTACAACCTTGACATCTTTCATGCTTTTCTGTCTTCATTTTGTAGCAATCCATAAACAAAACACACGCAAATGACAACAGATATTGTAGTATTATAAGTATAGTAGTAAGCTATAAGTCACTCGGCCAATAATAGTTAAAAGTTCCTTATATAGAATATTGTAGAGTAAATCAAGGGCTATCTTTCTATATCAAATACAAGTTGCATCCTCGTTTGCATATGGCGAGAAAACTACTTAAAACATCCGTGATACCGCGTTTCAGGTCGATGTGTCTGTTGTAAAAAATAATTTCTTCGTATTGAGATCATGTATAAGGATTGTTCATAGAGTATTTTATTTAGTCTTTCACTGGCTATCTTTCCATACGACGGTTTGTGGGGAACCTATGCTGGATTCCTCAAAAATGCTATTTTTTCTAAGAACAACGTTCTCTGATGGAATCGAGCTTAAAAACGTATTCTGAGCTTATTTTCCATAAGAACAACTGGAAAATGTGTGCAAATGTCTTTTCGACAAAAGTCCAGTCAAAATAAGGCAAAAAAAATGAGGGGTCGTTTTCTGATCATATATGCCCCTCTCCTTTCTGAGCAAAAATACATGGATTTTCTTTTTCGCTATCCCATCTCTGGTAAAAATTTGAGCGCAGTCGGATGTGTGCCCCGAATTTCGCAACAAGGTGAAAAAAGACAGACATCCCTAAATGTGCGAGAAAGTGAAAGCAAGGCAGCTTTTATTGATCTTTTTAGGCCTTTTATTATTAAAGACATCTCGTATGCTTTTCGCTTAGAAAATATTTTTCGTTCTTCAGTAATGAAAAGAGGAGAACACAGTTCACTAATAATTGAATGAATTCAACAAAAGTGAGTTTTAACTGTTCGATGAGTGGCGGGTAGTTCTTTTGTCATGTATTTTAAATGAAAGACAAAAAGAAATTACAGATAAAAACTCTTGGTTATATGTTGATCGTATCAGTCGTCTCCTCTCTGTATTTGGCTGATGACATCATTGACCAATTTTTCCGCTTTCTCAGTACCACCGACCATGTCTGACAGACGTTTTCGTCCCTTGTTGACAATGAATTACCACATTGTTTTAAACGACGTAAGTTTTGTTTCTAACATAGCAATGACAACTTCTGATGTTAAAACAGTTAGTGAGTTGCTTACAGTAGACTGGAATGATAATAACGGCTTTTTGCACAGATGATCAATCTGTTCGCTAGTCAAATCCCATAGACCATCAAACTTTTGTAAATTAATCAAATGACGAACAGTTTCTTAGTCATCTTTTGGCACGAGTCTTTTTGCTACTCGTTTGAGCAATATTCCATTTTATTTTGACATCAGTTATACATGGTTCAAGAGCTTTCTGCAATTGTTCGGCAACATGAATATCGCGGCACTTGTTCTGGAGGAATAAATGTGAATCGACCGTTGGTTGATTGAGCGAGACCCTTGATTAGTACACGACTCGGTGAATGACCAATACCAAACGAAAATATTCTTGCCGATGTGGATATTGACCGACAAAGATCTATAACTTCGGTTACATTTGATATTTCTCCGTCTGTGAGAAGAAGAATCTGACGCGAATGACCTTGAGTTGGTGCTTGTGACTGAAGCCATTGCAGTGGTCTCAGAAGTTCGGTACCGCCTAAGTCGGCTGACATTTGTGAAATAAGCTGTTCGGCCTGTTTTGTATTTGTTTATTGTAAACGTCAGTCGCACTATTGAATAGTGTCTTATAGTCTGAACCAAATCGGACAATGTTAAATCGTATAGTGTGAAAGAAGAACGTTCGACTATAGCGTTACGTAGAGCTGCCAACAATTCTACTTGGACGTCTTTCTTGAGTACTATCGCGGCAATTGACTGGCAAACTCTTGAGAAAGAGAACCATTGCTTGACGAGCAAGACCAATCTTGTTTTCATCGAGCCACTACAATCGACAACAAATATAAATTCATTGTTAACGCCAGAAGTATTGAGAGCTCGTTTACAGTCATCTTCAGTGGGTGTAAATGCAGCCATTAGAGCAACTTGGTCGCACTCAGTACTCTTTTTCACAGCTAAGGTGATATTTATTTTTGTCGATAATTCAATATCAACAATAATATCTCGATCGAGATGGGTGTTTTGCTGACTTAGAGTTAGTTCAAACTCTTGGTCATTTAGCTTGACATTTATCGGATGAGATGATAATGGTACACTTGTCACTTGTTCATTGAGCTTTTCAATTTGACAACGGAAAGAAAGAGTACGATGCCGATTGAATAAAATTTGACTGAGTACTGGCTGGTGATGATAAAAAACCCTTGCTTGGATCGTATCTTGGTGCAATAGTTGTGGGGACTACAAGACGAATCTTGTTAGCACTGACAAGATCCAGTTCTATGACATTGGCAATTTATATTTGGCATATTCGTGGTAGAAGCGCACCAACATTAATAAGAAACATATCTTGGGATTGTTCACCTTGTTCTACCAAATATGCTCCGTGTCCCTGCTGAAGAGCTTGCGAATACTCTTGTTGAGCTTGTTTCTTTTCTTTCAGGTGAGCTCGGATTTCTCGATCATCAACTTTGGCCAGAAATGAATAAATGGCGGCATTCTCCTCGATTGGGCAACAATACACAGCCTCAATCGGTTGTTGTTCATCGTTTTGAAATAATTGTGTGATAGTAACATCAGCACAAAATGAGCGAATTTTTGTGTCAACCGAGACTGATTTGAAAGGCACATATTTGGACTCATTGACGGTGTTAGATTTGATACGAAGCATTTTGTTACGTTTAACTGTGTAGCTGATAACTTGGTTTGTCGGAAGAATAAGATGCTTGTTATATAATATATATATAGGTTTTAGGGAAAAAAAGCAGAGATTAATCAGAATACTTATCCTACTTGAATCATGTTTGTCATGTCAGAGAGAACGAGAAGAAAAAAGATGAAAGTCCATATTTTGTTGACTTCTAGACACGTTGAAACCAAACTGTTTTGTTTAATATACACACAAGGTGTGATTCATATAACAAACTTTTTTTCTCCTCTCTTTTTATTTGTGATAACAACATACTCCAAACACAGAATCAGAGTATAGTATACACATACTCAATGAGCCTGTCCAATAAATCTGGTTTTGGTGTTTTTTAATTTTTTTATAAAAAGTCAATTTTCTACAACAGTTTTATAGGGGTGCTTTGGCTTTTTGGCAAAAAATCATAACTAACGGTAAATAAAGCAAATTGCACAAATCCGGTTCTGCATACAATACACTGAAATCTTAAGGTGCATCATCTTATGTTTCACTGCATCCTGTTAAAAATGATAAAACTCTAATCTGTATAGCGGATTTCATTCTCAAGTTACCCCAAAATATCCCCTTTCTTCTACTTTCAAATTGATTTTTTTCGAAAAGATTAGAACCGATCTGAGAATCAGGCTCCGTTATGGAACTGTCACAGATTTGTTTGCATACCGGTCATTAAGTGTACGAGTTTTATTTATATTTAATAAAATAAAATCAATCAATAAATGTATTTAATAAGCTAAGCTTTCAGAGATCAGAAACTTTGATTCCTTCAGGAACGTATCCTCCAGTGGGAGTCACAAGCTTGAAGAGAGAAGCATCGGTGATGAAGTCTGCCCGACCACTGATGGTAAAATCAGCTTCCACTTTGAGATACTGTCCGTGCCTATTATTCTTGATGGCGACATAGTCTCCTTGCTGTTCGATCGAGAAAACTTCCCATGAAGCAGGTCTGCTAGACTTTAGTTGGAGCGGCGTTTGCATGGAAAAATGCTTATTGACTTCGGCGTTTCGAATGGTACGCCCTTGAGAAGCCCATCCAACACCCCACACTTGACGATAGTTCGGAGCTACAGTGGAGGCATTGGCTAACACTATAGAAGTGGCAGTGTCGAAGGTGAGATAGAGACCAGTGATCTTCGACTGGATATGCCAAGTACCAGCGTTATTCATGGTACTTGGAGCGGCCCCATCTGTACACGGGGCGGCATTGCTGTATGTAATAGGATTACATCCAGGAAGTCTATCGATGGTTTCGACCATACCGATGTTTTCCGTCAAGGGAACAGGCACTGCCAACTCGCAACTATCGTCATTTCTTGCCTTCACAAAAGGCTTTAGAGGCAAGCATTTTTCGGGGTTATTTCCGTAATTCGTGTTTTCGACGCTGCAGGTGTCGTTGGCGATCGCAGCAGCCATCACATCAGTGTCCCAGCCATTAACCTTGACAAAGAATGATCAATGACACAATGTGTAAAAGTCACCAAGAAAACTTACAAAATCGCCATGAAAACCATAACCGGTTGGATCACCGCTAGCGAGAACGAAAGGCTGAGTTCCTTGACCATGAGGAAATTGGTCCACAGAATAGAAAGCCTCATAGAAGACTCCAGCAAGACGAACTGGATGTGATGAAGGACAATCTCCGCTGTTGTATCTTGTAGGATACGCCATATGAGACCTGTGATCGGGACTATCCAAGTTGACTCCATCCCAACACATCGGAAAGAATACTTGCATTCTGAATCCGTTCTTGCAGAAGTATTTGTCGGTTTGAAACCCATTTGTCTGTGGAGCCTTGGGCATTCCAGAATCAGTCAAGCTATCACAACAGTCAAATTTAACCGAAATCAATACCAAAAATTGGATAACTTACCAGACGAATGAAATGGCGGTGTGCTCAACGATTGATTTATTGAAAGTTCTGCGAAAAGGATCACCGGCTACCATGCGAAGACCTTTGGGAATTGGCTGCCAGTTTGGGTTGGTGTTCTGATTGCCAGTAGATCCTCGTCGAAAAAGGTAATAGACTGTCAAACCGCCATTCGGCACGAGTGAAAAAGTGCCGTTGGGCCATTGATAATACCTACAATACATTCATCAATACAGATCGGTAAGGTTGTTTATGTCAACGGAGTTTTCGAGGCAGACTTACAGTTCAGGATGCCAGTAGTTGGTATTATCGACAGTGTGAATCGAACAAGTGGTACAACTAGCCGATTTGGTAACGTGGTAGTGTTCGAGCGGGGTCTGCCCTCTCACTCCAGCGCTGAAATGATTCCCACCCATCACCTTATGAACGTGACCAGCAGCAATTCCTGGACTAACAATCGAGTCAAGGCGACCGCGATAGAGTGGAGTACCACTGCAGAAGACTTTCCACATCGGTGATGTGTCTTTGGCATGAGCTGTAGCAAAAAATCCAACCGATCAGTTTTTTTCCTTCAGAAAGTCTCAGTTGTAATACTTACTGACAATGGCAAGGAGCACGCCCAGTGGGACTAGTAAAATCAATCTGAATCCCTTCATCCTTCTCTTAACTTTATGCAGTTACAGAGAACAAACGCAGCCACTTATCTTATACATTAGTGCTTAAGCCATCGAGCGAGAGAAACGATAAAAGTGCATTTATTTTAGACTTAAGCTTATAAATAAATTAAAGTAATCGAATACGCTCTCTCAATATTGACATTAGATAGCGTTGTATAATGAAAATTTTGATCTTTCTGACATTTCTTCAAGGCTTGGCGACGTTTGCACTGGGATTCACTAACGCTCCTTTTCCGCCCACGCAAACATCTTTTCCGACACGGCTAACGTAAATTTCAGACAGAAACTATAATGTTGGATCATGCTAAATTTCGTGGCGTCGTTTTCTGCCAGATTTAAAACTACCCAGATCGTGCAAGATTATTGATTACCTCCTCTTTTCAAGTAAAACCAGATCTCTAACACTTTTCAGTTTATTCTACTTTTTCAATCTTGGTTTGAACTTTCCATGCCAATAGCACGAAACAATTGAGTGACGCGTGCTGGTTTCAGATAACAGCAGCTGACAAATTTCGGTTATATTTCATATTTTGCTTTTCTTCTTTCCACCTCGTGGACAAACCCACAGTTTTCTTTGTAAGGCCCTTGATCCTGAAGAAGGAAAGGATACCTATTTGCCAGTCTCATGAAATACTTAGCGATGATGAAAAATATATCCGATAATTTAAGCAGATAGCACACACTGAAGAGATCCGAAGACTTCTGTTATTTATCTACTATCCATTTCAATGAACAATGCATCCGGTTGTCGCTTGAATAACTCCGGAACAGAAGCAGCTAAAGATCTGCAGTTTTCGTCGTTCGAAAGACAAAATATAACTTTATGCTCTTCTGAAGCATTCAGCGACCTCACATCGACTTTTGACCCCAAAATTTCGTAACACACGGGGCTATCATTGAACATATGTTCGATGGAAAAGATTGGTCTCTTTCGATCCCCGCAAGACCGAGCTCTCTTGTGCTGTTTAGGAGCTATAAACCTTTTCCTGAGAGTCACGATTTTGGCCAGCTGACCTTAGGTCAGTCCGAAAACGTCGAAATATAATAGACCACGCTGAGTCGAGAGGTGATGTTTATTTTCAGTTTTGAAGCGATTTGAATCATTAAATTGAAGATATTTGAAATTTTAACATTTCGACGTTATCTAGCGCTGTGCAGCGTATGGAATCGATATTTCACAAATTTTCTACTTAATGATTCAAATCGCTTCAAAACTGAAGATAAACATCACCTCTCGATTCATTGTGGTCGATTACTTATATTTCGACGTTTTTCAGACTGACCTAAGGAATGAGCTCAGTCTTGCGCAAATAGAAAGAGAACAATTTTTCTATCGAATGTATGCTTAACGACAATTCTGGGTTAAAGTTTAACAGATAAGTTGCGCCAAAAATCGATGTGAGGTCGCTGGATGATGCAGAAAAGCATACAGTTGTCTTTTCTCTTTCCAACGACGAAAACCGCAGATTTCTAGCTGCTTCCGTTCCGGAGTTAATCAAGTTACAACCGGATGCATTATTCATCGAAATGGATAGTAGTTGTATGAAAATCTTACCTTCTATAAATCAAACAAAAACATCTGTCAGTAACAATAATTCTTGGACGAAAATATGATAGAAGTATAATGAATTCTTTAAATTTAATTCTCTCCAGAGATTGCAAGGGTAAGGTTTTCATACACTAACATTGATAACAGACGTCTTTGGATCTCTTCAGTGTGTGCTTAAATTATCGAATACCTACTTGAAGACAAAATAATTTTTCTTTTTTAACAAGAAAAGTAATCTATTGCGATTTTGTGGAAATCGAGTCAACAAATTATTCGAATATTCAGGTAAATCCTACCAGTTACAAATCCACTAGGTTTTCTAGGAAACCAAATGAGCGCAAAGAACAAAATGTTTTATACTTCACTTTGTTTTTTTCTCAGATCATTCTACTGCTTCGTGCAAGACACATTGAAGCAGTTTTCCATTACTACCAAAATTACCGAAATTGGTAAGTATAATATGAACAAAATAGAATATATGCTAATATTTTGAACTAATTTGGGTCAATTTCTTAATGAATTATGAATATTTTAAGGGAAGCCGTCAAAAGTTTCATCAAAAATCTCACAATAACTGAATTGAAGAAAAACTTGAGAACAGAATGATTCAATATGCCTGAAAAAAAGAATAAACTGAAAAGTGTTAGAGATCTGGTTTTACTTT